CGAATCGTAAGAATCATAAGATATCCATATGGCGCTTAACGATAAAGCATTGACGAAACAAGGCAAGCAAACATAAAAGTAATATTTTTATCAGTCCAATCACTCATATTCTCTTTTCCGGTAGCTTCTTCAGTAATTTAACTACTACTACTGCATGTCTTAATAATCCGTCTACTAACGATTCTGACTTTCATTTCGACTTCTAAAAAGTTACTAGCAAGCCAAAATTGGCAAGATGCCAACTGTTTCAAGTTTCATTTTGCGTATGTTGAGCATCCTACTACCTCGTCCCAAAAAAAACGTTGTCATTCTTATACTGCAGTGAGGTACGTTACCCTGAAACTGCTACAACATAATCTCCACACAAAAAAATATGTTAGGAAATGAAAATACCTTTATTTCGGGAGGAAGAGGAAGTGAATGGATATTTTTCCAAGGTTTGTGAAAAATTTCGCCAAAGTGCTCAACAACCGTATGAAACAACGTTTTAACTGAAACAAATTTAGTGACCTGGACCAATAACAATTGATGAGGATAACCTTTGCTTAGCTCTATTTTGCCAGTTCACATTTGTGCACAAAAATCAGAAAATGGTGTAGCCCTTAATACGTTCTATATCATGTACAAAAAAAAAAATGTGATAAAAAAGAACCTTTCGAATTGATAACAACAACTTCTTGCTTTGATGCTTTAAAAATTTCCGTTTTATATTCCGGAAAATATGCGAGTGCACCGTTTCGAAGAAAACGTGCTACCCAAAAATGACCTGCAAAAATCGCTCCGAAAATTTTTTGCAAAAAAAAAACAAACGAACATCACCCATTCCTCTCGCGGTTCCTGAGAATTCAAACTTACAAGAAGAAAATATATTCTCCCCAAAAAGCCCCGGATTATGAAGAAACCGCTAATTCATGGATGCTTTCTAGGTTATGTGAATGTTTTAGCTGGAAATTTGGAGAAGAGGGGAAGAAAAGCAAATATAGCTTCTGTATATGTGCAGGACAGCAAACCTTTTGATTTTTGTTTTTGGTGTTGTCAGATCAGCACTTTGACCTTGCGCTGATCGTTGTTAAGTATCGCTGATCCCCTTAGGTCTGCGTTATTTTATTAATATTAATTGCTAGAGTATCGCTGACTGCTAAATTTTACTTAACATAACTAAGATACTTTTTTATGAACTCTAAAATAATCAAAAGCTCCCTCTAGTGAGTGCAGTACAGGGCGATAATGTGATCAATACCAAGACTAATGAAGACATTAGCGATGATATGTATGGAAAATATAGTACTTATATTAAAAGATTAGTCAAATGAACAGTGATTTTTCGGCCCATTAGGTCGTCTACATTCTTATTCAATTAAAGGTTAAAGAGAGAATAATGAAGTAGAAAAGATGAAGAAGGGAAGAAAACGAAGAAAAAGCGAAATAAGAAGGGGAAATGGGACTATGAAAATATTTGTTATAGGCAAGAAATGTTTCGGTCTATTAAGTCGTATACATTTCTTATCGTTTACCACAACTGGACCTCGTCAGAACGACGATTGTGGTAACAAAATAATTTAGACGGTCTAGTGTAGTACAGAAATTATTTAGGATAAAAACAGACAAGAAAGAGAAATAGAAGACTGTTTTTACCACCATCAGTTATTCAAAGAGGTGAAAAGTCAAAAACACTAATAAGGTTGAGAGAATTT